TCCTACACAGGTGACCAGGGAAATTACTTTTCTACTTTTTTTTTTTTAAGATTGGTTTATATGTGTGTACCAGGTGTGCGGTGCCCAGAAAGCCAGAAGAAGAACCCCCTGGAGCTGTATTTACAGAAGGCAGTGAGTCACCTGACATGGGTGCTGGGAACCAAACCCGGGTGCTACGCAAGAGCAGCAAGTGCTTTTAACTGAGCCATCTCTCCAGTCCCTGACAAAGATTCTCTGCAGTATTTTACTTCATGAACTCTGAATGAACCAACACACGTTAAAAAGATAACCTTTCCCAATGAGCCAGAGAATAGATTCTCTTGTTAGTTCATGGTCCCTGACAGGGTTTCCAACAGAGCAGCGGCTCAGTATCTAGGAAGCTCACAGTGAAACTCACCACTGGGTCTGTAGGATGAAAAATATTTAGTAAGCGGTTACAAATCTCTCTAGGTAAAATGTGGTCTTGACTTCCAGTATTTCCTGGTCGGATGCCACGCAATGCCAAAAAAACTGCTAGTGGGGATCCCATACAGAAGAAATTCTCAACCTAAAATGAAAAAAGCCATCCTAAATTTACAAAACGATCAAGTGTTATTTCCAACAGACTCTGGGGGTACCATGTTACATAATAAAATGCAAACAAACAACAAAATTACCCCTAAGCATATCTGTTTTAAAGTAAGCTTTGTCTACAATAATTTACTTTCTGGAGGGCTTTCATTTATAAAAAATTTAACAAGTTAAAACTGAGCAAGGGAGGAAGGCGAGGGGCAGCACATTTCTGTTTCTCTCCACTGCTCAGGGATGTACTGAGCTAGGATCTGTGACCACACTAGGTGCTGTGAGGGATGGGTCAGTGGGGTGGAGCCCTGTGTGGGAGGCACAGGGGAGGAATGTCCTCCAACCCTGAGGGCTTTACCCAGGGCACAGCACGCCAGGGCCAGGACAAGACAGTCAGCATTTCTACAGGGGAGGTGTGGGGATCAGGGATAAGAGAATGACAAACAAGACCGATACATGGACTAAAGCAGAGAGAGAAAGGTACTGGATGATTTTTTTGAGAAAAGAAAAAGGTGAAAAACAGGGTGTGGGAGAAAAAGCTGCCTGGGATGATAACACTCAGAGCTCTGATGAGGAAAAACAGGCGTAATTTGTTTCTCAGGTGGTGGGACAACACTTAACCCACACCTGGAGGAACGTAAGCTGGTAGTCCTGTATGGATGCACCCGGAAGTGGCATACTACTGATGTTGGGGAAATAGGGCAGCGCAGATGTCATTCATATCGGGAATGGAGGAGGATGGAGCAGGGTCGCACGCCTGGATGGAGCCTGATGAAGACTGGGAGCTCACAGGCCTGGAGTCTGCAGGACTGCAGCTCCATGGCAGAGTCTGTCGCTGAATCTTATCTGTGTTCTATCCAGCTTGAGAGCTCTGTAACATGTGGCTGAAAAGTCAGAGCAGGGGATGCACAACTGTGTCTTTCACCATCCACATCTACATGCCCATCACCACCACTGCAGTGACATGTGAAGCCAAGAAGGCGAACAGGCTTGCCTGGGGTGTGTTCAGAGCATGGACAGCTGGACACAGATCTACATTTAGTCAGCAGGAAGAACGGGGGTCAGGGTCAGGGGAGACTACAAGGGAGAGTGAAAGAAAGAACCAGAGTAAAGTATACTACACAAATCAGATTCTAAGCCATTTATTTCATTTTTATGTGCACTGGTGTTCTGTCTGCATGTCTGTGCCAGGGCGGCAGATCCTCTAGAACTGGAGTTACAGACAGTTGCGAGCTGCCATGTGGGTACTGGGAACTGAGCTCAGGTCCTTTACAAGAGCAGCCGCTGCACTTAACCGTTGAGCTATCTCTCCAGCCCCCAGATTCTCATCTGTCTTTTTGTTTTGTTTTTTGAGACAGGGTTTCTCTGTATAATAGCCCTGGCTGTCCTGGAATTAGCTCTGCAGACCAGGGTGGCCTTAAACTTAAGAAGATCTGTCTTCGAAGTGCCTGGCCCGGATTCTAATCTTAATACCCCACCATGTATACTGTATATATTAAGTATACTGTGATTGTTCTGGCCTCCAGTTTTATATATACCTGTCACCAAGAAGATGACAGAATGACTTTTATTTTTGTGTGCTATCAACAAGCTGTGCCCAGATCAACAGATGTACAATCATCTTGGCTAATTACTACTAACTAGATAGGACAAAAATCACAACGAAATCAAAGCTTCACACTGATGGTTGTATCACACAGATGATACAATTCAGCTCCTCTAAAATAGTGAGAGGAGAAGGGCTGGAAGAAATAGAGAATTAAGCCACATATGTGTTTCATGTTTATAATCCCAACATTCATGAGACTGAGGCATGGCTGGGAGTTTATGGCCAGCCTGGGCTACACAGTAATTTCGTAATTAGCCTGGACTACTTGTTAAGATCCTGCCTCAAAAGTAAAAACAAGGGCCGGGGGTGGTGTGGCTCAGCAGGCAAGAGCACTTACTCTTTAAGCACGAGGACCCAGGTCTGAATACTCAACCTTCATGCAAAAAAGCTGGGGTGTGCTTGTGCCTGCCTGTAGCCCCAGGACTGCACCTAGTCCAAATGGCAAGCTTCTTGTTCAGTGACAGATTCTCTGTCTGAAGGCAATGAGGCAGTGATAGCAGAATCCATCTGGCTTTGTGCTCTGATCCCTGCCATGTATGTAGGGCAAACACCTGCATACTCAAGTGCAGGCACCACACAAACACACCCACGCACGGACACACATGCACACACTCACACCAAACCCCCGATATACCAAAAACAGGTAAGGGAAAGCTATGGCGCTCTGTGCAAAAAGGTTCTCTGCCTTGGCCAGTCACCCCACAGACGGTCAGTTAAACAGCTCCTCCCATGTCATTTTGTTTACGGTGACTGCAGTCCAGTGAACATGCAGAGGCGCTCTCCTATCCCAGGAGGTTACAGACTGCTTCACTTACGACTGTCAAAGAATTAAAAAACATTTAAAGACAACTTTTATTGTGGACGTCTATGAGCTGTATGTGTGTGGGAGCATGTGTGTACCATGGCACGCATGTGGACGTCAGAGGACAAATTTTGTAAAGTCAGTCCTCTCCCTCCACCTGAATGCGGGCTGAAGGCCCTGAGCTCAGGTCCCAGGCTTGCAGAGCAAGCGCCTTTCCCTGCTGAGCCGCCTCACCAGCCCCATCAAAGAATTCTGAAGACAGTGAGGAACTTCAGATTCGTAGCTTAGGTTCCTAGTTCAGAGACGAGTAAATATTCAGAATTCAGAAATATCACATGGCTTGGCTAGTATTGCTAACTAGATAGGACAGGACAGAAATCACAGCGAGATCAAAGCTTCACCGTCCACATCACACAGATGGCTGCTCCTCTCGTCCTGGGTGTGAAGCTCAACGGTCAGCTGCAACAGGATGGACCAGCATCCTCAGGGCCAGTCCACCTGCCGGCTGTCTACATGGAAAACCTGTGTTCTCTCTAACCCCCTAAGCTCCAAGTAGGGCTCACCAGGTTCTTAGGCGCTCTTCTTAAATCATGACTCCTACGCTTTCCTCTCAAGAACAATGAGGAGCCTCTAGTAAGCCATGTGTGACCTGCGTCAGAAAACTCAGTTACGGTGCACACGCTCTATCACGTGGTGCTGGATCTCAGATCATCATAGACTTAATGTGTTCTACCCAATCGTCCAAAATCAAAAAACAGTTTATCTGCCACTACATTGAAACATTTAGCAGTAATTATACATGATGGTGTTTGGAGAGCTGGAAGTTAAATTCTGTAATAGGGTAACCCCAGAGACCACATTCTTTACCTGCGTGTTCCGGCTTCACCACTGAATTCCCTGCAGACTGCTGGGAAGTGAACCTAGGGCCTTGATCATGCTGGCCAACTACTCTGCCGTTGAGTTATGAGTCCAGCGCAACAATGTGGTTTTTAAATGTGTAAGTTGAAGGTTGAACAGTGGGGGATGGCTTAAAGGTTAAGAGCACTTACAGAGGACCCTAGTGCAGTTGCTAGCACCCACAGATGGCTCATAACTGCGCATGACTCCAGCTACAGGGATCTGGCAGCCTCTACGGCTGTGCAGGCACATACAGGTTTACATATACACACAGACACTCACCCACACTCATAAAAATAAATAACAGTTCAAGAAGAACTGTAAGCCAGAGCCAGAGAGTCAATATAATTTTTCTGTCCATCATCCCACATTTGAACCTCACACTGAGTAGAAGACAGGTATCCAGCTCAATGTGGCTCACTGGGCATGTGGAGATGGAGTGCTTGGCTCATGCCACCTTGTTTACTACGGCCGGTAGGAGTAAGCCAGTGCTGACGTCTCTTCCCCTCAGGCTTAGCAGAGCAGTTTTCACTACTCTGAGGCTAGTTTCGCTCTGCCCTGGCAAGAAGATGGCAGTTCCTTCTCTCATGGCCCCTTGCTGAGTCCTGAACAGTCCAGCCAAATGACCTCGTGACCTTGTCCTGGGCTTTTGTCCTAGACTTTTCATTGGCTGTATACTTTGAAATCACTCCTGTTCACCTCATTTTATTTTCTTCTTCCTGCTGATCAAAAGTCTGTTACTTCTAAACAGTAAACATTTCACACATCTGTCTCGACTTTTCCTCTCACTTTTTTTCCTCTTTTGACCTGGCCCAAATGCAAATAAAGAACAAGTGTTTATCCTTTTAAAGCTTTCCAGACAAAAGGAAGGCCACCCTCTAGTGCATTATTGCCTTGCACACTGCTAAAAGGCAACCTAGGTACTGTGACATCCGGGGCTAGAGAACCATCCTGTCCATGCTGCCTCTGACAGATTCCAAGCACACAATATGTGTTGAATAACCATCCATGACTAGACTTTCGCTGGTTTCAAGCCCCATACTGAGGCAAAGACTCTTCCCTTACCTTGAATTTTAAGGCAGGTGTCTGTGTTCTGGCTGATGTCTTCAGTCCATGCAGCCGCTCTTCTATTTCCCTCAGCCTAGGAGGCAGCACGAGACCACACTTACATACATTTATAGTTTCACTACAGCCAGAGGCTTACTACTGTATGAAGCATCGACAGCCCTCACACTAAGGCCCATGACAGCATTTATTTAATGCTCCTGCTGTACTGTTCAGGAACTTCTCATGACACCTGCATAGACATACTCCATCCATCCCTCCATCCATCCCTCCATCCATCCATCCCTCCATCCATCCAATCTATGTAGCTTTAAAAATTATACTTTATACTCTCTTGTCCAGTCTTTTTAAAAACCTTTTTTTCCCTTTTTTTACATTTATTATAAATGAATTTTATAGGTCTCTTCATGGCATTGACTCCACCTACTTTAATTTCTGAATCAGACATTACTTGCCCACCACGGTTTGGCCCTTCTCTGCTAAGCGGCATTTGAGTCTCCTCACTCATATCACCGTTTGGTCTTGCTCACATGCAATAATACATTTGCTTAACATTTTTTCTCAAGAAAGTGACAGGTCATTTTCTGTGCCTGGCTTACTCATTTGCATATGTATGTTTCCTTGACTATTCCTTTAGCTCGGCTGACTCAATCCCTGACCCTGATTCTACCTAACAAGTGCTGGGATTGCCAGCACACGCCTCCATGGCTATGTCTTTTTCCTTTTTTTAATTTTTTAAATGTCTTTTTAGATTTTATTTTTATTTGTGCAGAAATGTGGGTGCAGTGCCTGCAACAAGCCAGAAAAAGGTGTTGGAACTCCTGTGGCTAGAGGAACAGGCGACTGTGAGCTGTCTGCCATGTGCGCTAGGAATCGAATTAAGGTCCAGTACAAAGTCTCACCAGATTTACTCATCTAAAATGCTGCTTTGAGGACTGCCAAACTTACTTCTTTCTTGGTTTTTCAAGACAGGGTTTCTCTGTATAGCTCTGAATGTCCTAAAGCTTGCTCTGTAGACCAGGCTAGTTTCAAACTCAAAAATCTACTGGTGTTTGCCTCTTGAGTGCTGGGATTAAAAGCGTGTGCCACCACGCCTAGCTAAATGCCATTTTCTTCCAAGACTAAAATTCATTTTTCTGTTAAAATATTTATGTCTATGGCATCTAATCAATATAACCCCGAGACAATTATTCCAAAAGTAAAACAAAGCCAATACTTTCATAGTAAAAACTTGTTAAATAACTCAACTGTTTTTATAAAATGTCAAACTATCAGAATCAACTATCAGAAATTGTTTTTCACTGCAAACTTGTATCAGTAAGAGAATGAAAAAGATGAAGAATGAAAATATAAATTAAGATAATAGTGTAGCAAATATTTAAAAGATCTAAGAAGGTCATTGATGGTCATATAATCATTAAATGGTATATAATCATTAACAAAGATAATGTAAAATAATTTGCCAAGAATGAAGAAGTTTTAACACTATTTTCAGAACAGTATTAACAAAGGTGCAGACCAACCTCTACACAGCAGCAAAACAAATGATTACACATTGCAACCTGTGAGCAAAGGTGGAAGGAGGCCAATGAAACTATTTTATTCTGTAGAAAAATGCATGTAAGTGGTATAAAAGTTAATAGCCTATAGCTGACTTGGGCATGTTATCTAGTAACCTCTCGTGAACAAAGCATAAAGCTCCCTTTTTCTTTTTACTTGGAATTTTAACTGCATGTTTTTCTGTGTGCACCTGTGAGGACAGAAGAGGACACTGGATTTCCCGGAGCTGGAGTTACAGACAGGGAGTTGTGAGCAGACTGATGTGGGTGCCAGGAACTCAACTCTGGTCCTCTGAGAGACTGTCCTGTATTGTTAACTATGACGCCATCTCTGGACCCAAAGCCTTCTCTCACGAACATTAGCAATGCCATAAAGACACTCTCAGCTCTCAGAAGCCAGGTTGTTTACCGTCGCTTTGTCATATAGAGCTCATCCAGAAGATGCCGCTCTTCATAGCTCATCCACCTCTCGTCAGGCAGCTCCTCCTCCTTCTGCAGCAGCTGCTCATACAGTCGAACTGGATTCCAGCCCGTCATGATGTCATAAGTGATTACACACCCCAAGGAATGGGACACTATTGAGACTTTACCCCCTTTCTCTTCGAAGTCTGGATTCCGAGAACAGAAAAGGGAATATAATCGGTTCAGCTCTTGCTGAAGGCCTTTAACTAGCTGTTCGAAATAAGAAAATATCATATTAGACTTTTCGCTGAGCGCTACACACTTTACTTCTAAAATGCAGATGTATTAAGAAGAAAAACAAATATGATAAAATATAAATAGATATTACATTTACTCAGGTGCTTTAAAAAGGTGTAGGAATGGAGGGAGGGACATTTCTACGCTACAAACCATGTCATCACCACAGAATACACCACAGGCAGATTACCGAAAAAGACCCTTTTATAAGCTTTTAGTAAATTCCACTAGCCAGCTGACTTACAAACAAAAATTTCCTTTTAAATTCCAGTAAGATCTCCAAAGATCCCTGAGAATTTTCACTTCACTGAAACTTACTATGTCAATTCAAAATTTTTATAGTGTGTGGCTTTAGTCACAGTAAAATTTTAAAAGATATCTAAATTTATAACAGATACATTTGTCTCTATGAGGCTTTTCCCCTTGAAGCTGAACATCAATGAACATTACTGAAATAACCTCCTCCCCAAATCTAACTAACACTACGTTATCACTGAAACCCATTCTGGACCTGGATCTGAGGGTTAGTTGAGTCCTTCTTCCTATTTCTCTGATCTGATTATAGAATTTCAGTGTTTATCCATTTCATCTCATCACTTAACAAGCTAGGTGAGGGTTTCTTTCTTTCTTTCTTTCTTTTTTTTTTTTCAGCTTCTATTTTTAATCAGGAGACAACCAAACTCCATCAGCTGAGATTGAACATTCTTCCTCTAAGTGCATACAGTGGCTTTCACTCTTGTGCTTATGACTGGCAGGCTCAGGAGTGGCATGCATGAAGGCCTGGCACCCTCTGCTGACATCTTGGAGTGCCATAAAACAACCCTGAAGCTAATCTGGGCAGACCAGTGGGCTCTACCTCTTGATCAGAGACTCTGACAGCCTGAAATTTGCATCCATGACAAGTTCCTGGAAACTGTTGGTGCTGCTGCCTGAGAACTCTATGAACGACTAGTTCAAGGGGAAAAGGACATAAAAGCCTTTCAGGAGGGACTGTAGGTAAAACCTCAGCAAGACTAAAGGGTATGCAGTGCAATGTCCATGTCCATGCTGGTCACTAAGGGAGCTGAAATGTAATTCTTTGGAGTGAGCTCATACAGTATCAGCAGTCCGTAAAAACAAAAAACAAAACCAAAAAAACCTCCTTCCTTACAGTCTATGCAACAGCTGGGGAGAAAGTGTGCATGTGTGTATTTTCCTTGGTCCTGAATGCAGCTCTCTTGCATGCTAGGGCAGGTGACACACTGACCTAGCTCTGCGATGTATACCAAGTAAAAATAGAGGTGTCTCAGTACACTGGCAAAAGCACCCATTTCCATGCTCTCTAAAAACGCAACCCTCAAAAACGTGAACTGCGAGGGCCTGGCTGACACGGCCTGTACCCACTGCCCTGGCTCCTCTGTGGCCACTGACAAACTCAGGGTTCCCCGAGGACCTCAATCTCAGAGTCAAGAGACCCATGGCTGACCGAAATGATGGCTCACCCTAACCCAGGAAGGCAGCTTTGCTACTACAGAGGTCTTCCTCAAGCAAATGGACTTGCTGCTGCTCTTCATGGATTCTTACTTTACTTCTGGGTTAGAAGAACATGAGAGACTAATTTCTCAGATTATTTTGTTTTTTTTTTATGAGTGTTCTGTCTGCATGTATGTCTGTGCAGCACATGTGCCTGGAGGATGTCAGAAGAGGGGGTTCCAATCCCCTGGAAGTGTGAGCCACCCAGTGGGTGCTGGGAACTGAACTGGGGTCCTCTGTCAGAGCAAGTGCTCTTAGCTGAGCACCTCCCAGGCTCCCACAGGAGGGATTCTAATTTACAGACTTTCCTTTTATAAAAAAACAAGATCACCTTTGCCCATCTCTTCCTAGGTACTCCTTTTGTTCTTCATAATGCCTTAAGAAATACTACCCAGAATTCCCTCAGGGTATTGCCTGGGAGAACTGCTGATTTAAAGTATAAACACAGGCTTTATTTCAGACCAAGTGACTCACAACCTCTGGGGGACGGACCTAGAAAACGGCTTTCCCTTTAAATATTTTATTTCCTCAACTTTTATTTAAAAATAACTTGAAAATATAAAATGTTACATAGTAAAATTAGCACAAACAGTCAAATGTCTGGGCTGGAGGTGGCTCAGTGGTTAAGAATGTACAGTGCTCTTACAGAGGACAAACACCCATATGGGGCAGCTCATAACCACCTGTTAACTCAAGCTCAAAGGAGCAGATACCCTGTTCTGGACTCCACAGGCACTCGCACACACATGCACATTCCCTCCTCACAACACGTAATTAAGAAAATCCACACACTATGATTTATTTAGATCCTCCTTTTGTTGGCATTTATCACATTTGTGTTATTTCTCTCTGCTTCTGTAAGCACACAAATGAATAAGTTCTGAGAATTTTTGGTAATTACTTGAGGAATATAGTATCCATTGTCGTCTTTTATCCCTTAATACTTCATACTTAACACTCCATTGTTTATTCCTTCAAACTAGCACTATTTCTAGCATAATTATCCATGCCACATGGTACTATTTGGATATATTTTATCTAAGTTACCACCCATAATCCAACTCTGTCATCCCTTCCTGCAGCTTCCTCATCTACTACAGGATAGCTGAAGATGAAATACAGTGTTTATCAGATCTTTTCACCTCCTGTAATCTGAATTACTGAATGTTTCCTGTAGTTACTGTCATTTATGGCACTGATAGTTTAAAAGAACACAGCCTCAGTCCTATTCCTTGTTTTGTGTTTTCCAAGTATTTCGTCATCATATTAAGATGCCGAGAAGAGGATGTTGCATCCTCCATAGGTTTAAACCACACCCAAAGGTTTACAATGTCCACCTGTCCCCTGGGAAACCCAGTATAGAGGCTGCCTGATTTCTCCTGTGTGTGATTATGATTTCTCCTTTATGGACCAGTGAGCAGACTACGGGATGTACTCTAAGGCCAGGCAATTAGTCTGCTCCTAAACAAAACATTGCCCTCAATTTAATATTCACATCCAGACTCTGGATACCCGATACTGCCGTGCCAGCTGTAAAGTGAGTTTCCAACCCCAGTCAGCTTTATCATTCTAAAAGCAAGGGACCTCTCCACCTCCCACTTATTTTTCAAATTATAACCAAAATAAATGTTAGATTAAAAAAAGGTTTGCAATCCTTTATTGCACTGTCATTATTATACCCCCACATTAAAAGTACTAATAATTCCTGTAGTAACAGCCAATGATCAACCTAGGTACCCAAACAGACTCGGGCAACTGACCTGTTCTCTGGTCCTATCCTTGTGACCTGCCATTATTCATTTGAATTTCTTTAGCTTCTGTCATAAATAGTTGTTTTGGGCTCTGAATCAGCTACATTCACAAGAAATGGTAATTTTTTTTTTTTATTGGAAACACAGTACCGTAAACATCTGGATGTTAGGACTACTCAGTGTGGTAAGGGATATTTTTGTTTCTTAGCTATTTTAGTGTACATGACTGGGAAATGCAAGTATGTGAACAGTCACCTCCATGTGTGTGTGTGTGTGTGTGTGTGTGTGTACATACAATATAGGTATTGTATGTATACATTTATATACATACACACATATATACACATACAATACCTATAGTCATATTTTATAGATCATGAGTTCAGAATGATACCTTCCTCTCCATCCTCAATAGAGTACACACAACACACACACACACACAATTATAATTTCATCAGTCTATTGTTTTTTGAGACAAGGTTTCACTCTGTAGTTCAGACTGGCCTTGAACTCGGAGCAATCTTTCTGCCCTTGTCTCCTGAGTGTTGGGATTACAGGTGTGAACCACCATGTACCTCTCTTTGTTCTGAGACAAGGACTCACTGTGTGACTCTGCTTCCTGACTGGATTAAAGGTGTGCATTACCAGTTATGGCCTTCCTCTGTATTTTTAAGGAGCACCAAGTGACACTCTTATCAGGCCAGGCCTGTCTGGGAAACCCTGGGGAAGACTTGGTCTGAAGCTGACCAAATTCACTATTAAACAGCATTTATCTGCTGCCACTGTGAAACACACCTAACATGACAGCACAGTCGTGACACTTACCTCGTCCCTATAAAGTGGGCTGGTATAGTACATTATGTCCATTGCACTGCTGTTCAGCATGTCCCTCAAGCCTCGCACTTTGTCAGGAGTAATGGAATCAACAGTGTCTACAGGAACAAAACAACCAAATCAAACTTACAGAAGGTTTCAGGGAAAAATTACATTTCCTAAAGTAATTTAATATTTAAACATTAAACATTAGTGGGGGACCTTTCCTTTGTTTAAAATATCTAAAACAAAACACCGAAAGTAAGAGACAATAAAAAGAGACACAAACAGAAAAGGAACATTAAAGAATGAAGGCTATTATCAATTTCTTGGCCTCTATTTACCCTGGCCCTGACTATGCCCATCTGGCATGCCTGGCACTGCTAACAACAAACTGGCGACAAATACATTTTTCCTATGCTTTGTATTTATCAATCTCTCATGAACCAATGACTTGATGGGCCCGCAATGTCAGATCACAAATATAAACAAAGGCAAATTCGTTATAGGCATCAGTAAACAGGACAAAGACTGTGTGACTGCGTGAAACAAACAGTTACAATAATAAAAGCACTGGAGAGCACTGAGCTCCGCATGGCTTACGCAAGCACAGGAAATGGACACTGCCATGGGAAAGCACAGAAGGGCAGAAGCCCCATGACCTCAGGTGAAGAGAAGTCACTGCACTGGCTTGAATGGTTTTATTTTATTTATGCTGTAATTTAGTACAATGTAGTAAGGACTAAAAGGCAACACAATGAAGACTAAGGTTCTCTATCTATTCTCAACTACTCTCCCAGTGTGTCAGAGAGTCTTGGCCTTCATGTTCAGCCTTTGGTCCAGCTAATGAATAAAGCAGCATTTTTTTTTTTTTTTTTTTTTTGAGCCTTTCCCCCATAGGATAACCCGTTTCCAAACACATTCAAAGTACAGGTCACCCATGGTTTCAGCACTGGCTGCAATACTGTTTTGCTGTGGTGGGGTTCCAGCGTAAGCAAAGGCCTACGTGCACTGGTTTCCCTCCCCAGCTTTCTTCCAACACTGACGTATTTCAGCTAGAAAGGGTAAGCCATCCTGCAACCTCAGAGGACCTGACTCGCTGACTCTGCCTTGGCAGACCCTCTGTTCTACAGTCAGTTTATCAAGTCCCATAAAAATCTACAGCTCAGTCTGGGAGTTGCATCTCTAGACTATTCAACCATTTACTCTGAGAGAATCATTTCTGTATTTACATTTTCTATATTTTAATAGTACTTGTACTTTAAAATGTAAATGTACATATTTAAGTTATTTAAAGTTACACATTTTCTATAAAAGTTGTATAATATTTGAGTTATTTCTTGAGGTCATACATTTTTTATGTCATTTCTGGTCTAAAGAAAAGCAATTGTTTTTACACATGAATCTTTTATGTCATGACCCTGATAAGCTGATTGTATATAATGATTTTTCTGCATAGTTTGTGTACTCTGAGCTGACAGCATGTGGCCTGTAGATCAGAGCTGATGCTTTCGCTTCTTCATTCCCATCATTCCTTCTTCATGTATTACTGTGCTGCTAAGACAGTAAGTCCATACATACTTTTGTTTTTATCCTTTTACTACCAATGAGTACACTGGTATTCGCTACAGCATACTTTTATTTTGAAATTAATACAAAGTAAAACTGATTATGAATTTTAATACTTGCATAGTTTTATGTAACTCTGTCATCAAAACAAGAGAACTGTCCTCTCTCTGGCTCCCGCATTTGCCTTCCCTTCAGCTCTGGCAGTCACTGGCTGGCTCTCCAGTGTCTACAGTCTTGGAGGCATAAAGTGCAGAACCTTTCTGCTGGGCTTCTTCCATTATCTTAATACTTTCAAAGCTATCATCAGTAGGTGATGCCCAGAACCCAGGACTACGACGGTGAAACAAACTAACAAAAAAAAAAAACCAAAAAAAAAAAAACAACTGGGAAGTGAGTGTGATCAGGTGCATAAAATTCCCAAATAATCAATTAAAAATATACTGGGGGAAAAAAAGAAAAAAGAATTAAAAAAATGTTGTTTTGAACATTCTTGTACATTTAAAAAAAACAAACACTGGTATTTTAGCTTGTCTTGTGCAGACGCTTAAGACAGGAGTGCTGGGTCATGGGGTAGCTGCGGGACATCCCGAGGGACTCTAAGGGACTACACACTGCCTCGTGAAGCAGCTGTACCACTTCCTGTTCCCATCAGCACACATGCATTCTTGACTTTGTCTTCTATTCTCACCATCCCCAGCACAAGAGGAGGTACTGCCTGGAGGTTTTGATTTGCATTTTGCTGATAAATAGTGACACTAAGAAAAAAAAAAAACAAAAACAAAACATCTCCCTCCCATTACCACAACAATGTAAACTAAGCTTAGGGGCTTAGTAAATGTTAATTTATCCTGTTTAATTCCTGAACTTTATCTGGGTGAACAAGAAAAGTCCACATGATGGTGTTATTATATAGAATTTTACATATATACCCTGACCCTCTCCTTGGTTGCTAGCACTTAGTTAATTTTTAAAGAACCCATGACGGTTTTTTATGGCATTTTGGAGTTGGAATGCTCTAGCTGACTTTCCTGACTCTAAGGCCTGGAAGACTCTGGACCACACCAGTGCAGCGCTGTGAATGAAGGTGGGTGTTGGTGTCACACAGATCTAGATTTCTTCCTTGTTCCCCCAAATCATAAAGGACGGACGGACACACACACACACACACACACACACACACACACACACACACACACA